TCTATTCATTAAGAGAATGCAACTATATATCTATCCCAACCACTTTGAATACACAGATACAAAATGGACATTCATAGTTATCCTCCTCTTCTTTTTTCCGAGACAGGATCTTGCTATGTAGTCCAGGTTGACTTCAAACTCACAGCCGACTTCTTGCCTCAGCCTCCCAAGTTGTGGGATTACATGCCTGAGCCACCACACCCAGATCTATGAATTATTCTTATCTGCCCCTCTTCCTGTTCAACTTCAGTGGATTTTACTTTTAATCATCTTGGGCTGGGGAGATAGCTCAGTGGCTTAAGAACCTGCCTGTTAAGTACAAAGACCCAGATTCGATCCCCGGTACCACATCCCACGCCGGCCCCAAGCCATGCCAGCCACTGAAACCAGGTGTGGTAGTGCATACCTATATTACCAGCACTGGGGAAGTGAGACAGGAGGATCACTAGGAGTCTGAGCTGCATTGCAAGATGTAACCAAGTAGATAAATTTTAAAAAAAAAATCAGCTTGCCAACTTTAAGCCAACTCCATGGACACCAGCCCATACCTGACCAACACTTCCTCCCTAGATGACTGCCACGACTTACACTAGTCTCCCAGCCTAGACCCTGCCTGTCACTCCTTTCCTTCCGCCTCCCTCTGCTTTTCACAGCAGCCAGACAGCTCTTTTAAGAAAGCAAATCAGAGGCTACTTCACCCTCTAAGTGAAACCCTTCCGTGGACTCCTGTTTCTCTCAAATTCGAGGTCAAAATCTTTATCATGGCTTTTGAGGATCACACTTCCATCATTCACTGTTTCTAGCCATGCTAGACATGTCAGGTCCCCAAATACTCCCTGTGCCTTCTAGCTTTGGGGACACTACACAGGATTACTGAGCTGAACAGTCTGAGCCTGGATAATCCAAGTCCTATGCCGGGGCCAGTGAGCAGACTGTCAGGTATCAGGGAGCACGCCTGCCTGAAGCTCCTGGGGCCGTGCAATGGCAAGCAGAAACACTGAAATGGGGGCCAGACAAATAGCTCAGTGGATTAAAGCACCTGCTTAGGCAGACGCAGGAGTCAGAGGTTCGATCCCCAGCCTGCTTTGCCGGCCCTGCCTCTGTAATCCCAGCACTTGGGAAGCTGAAAACAGGAGAATCACTGCAAGTCCAATCTGTGTAGCGAGACCCTGTAGATCCCATAGCCCGCCCCCCCCCCCGTACTAAATACAATAAAAACATCAGGCCTTGATCTCTGGTGGTCTATGGCTTATACGGGATAAGCAAGCAGGACAGACGCAGGTGGCACTGGTTGTGCAATATGCATTACAGTGACCAAAAGCAACCAGAGCTGCGACAGCAACTATCACCTGGGCAACTAGAATTCTGAAGTCCACTGGCTGGGGTTGGGGACATCTTCTGCTACATTCTTGGCCATTCTATGGAATCTGTCTGAGAATGGAGCCATCAGAGGATACATAGCACAAGAAGGTGAAGACAAACACAGGACACCTAAGTAAACAAAATAAGCTCAAGTTTTAATTTGAAAGTTTGCTGATAACACTTGGGCTCCTCAGTCTAGCCATACCTGAAATAAGCGTACTGATTCCCCCAACCTCCAGAACTCCTATGCGTATGAATAAATAACCTCTTCCCCCTTTTGCTCTTTAAATAGTGGAATTTTGGCATTTGCAACCAAAGGAATCCTGACCAGCTAGGTTACCTGGGTACAAAGACAAGCATTCCTAGACCCCATCTATGAGGCTCTGAAAAAGAACTGGCTGATTGGCTTTTTTCTTTTGGCAGAACTGGGGATTGAACTCAGGCCCTTGCGCTTGCCAGATAAACGCTTATTCTACTGAGCTATCTCCCCGGCCCCAGCTTTTCTCTTTATATAAAACCTTTGTGACCTAATAATCAGTTTTGAGTCCATTTTATTGTGCCTACACCTGTTCCCCACACATCTGTTTAGTGTGGGTCAATCCTACTACAACTAATTGCTCAACATCACAGCAAGTTGTGCTTCTTCATTCATGCACTCTGCCATCAGGTATTTCCCTATTTTAGGTCTTTATTGTAAAGAAGACGTTGTTCTAGACTGTAGGGGTAGATTGGTAGCAAGGCAGACAAGGTAATTGTCCCTAGGGAGCTAAGGTGACGTGCAAAGAACCATAAAGCAAAGATAACCACATATGGAATAGGTGATGCGATGAAATAGAATAGAATTTGACGAGGGTGCCACTAAAAATATCACTCAGGAGGTACTGGGGATCACAGTTGGTACTAGGGCCCTGACACTGAACTAATCATTATTTTTAGCGAGACAAGTCACTAAGTCACTAAATTACAAACGCCCGTAACCCCAGCCCTCTGGGAGACTAAGCAGGTGCATGGCAACTTCCGGCCCAGCCTGGGCAACGCAATTATTTAGCAAGACCCTGTCGCAAAGTAAAAATGTAATGGGGGGGAATGCAGCTATAGCTCAGTGTGAAGGCCTTGGGTTCAATCCCCTGTACGGCACCCCACAAAAAAGCCACTTATTAACCTAGAGCTGCAGGAAGCTTGAAACAGCTCTGCAATTATAACGCTGACCAAAATCAATCCTCTTGAAAAACGCTTGTTGAGAAGCTGGGACTCTAACCCAGAGCTTCGGGTCTACCAACCACAAGCCCCACCCCTTAATTAAGACAGAAGCGGGTGCCCTCTGACCCCGGATGTGCGGACGTAAAGAGCGTGCGGGGCGGCCACAAAGCCCAGTGCACTTTACGACAGCGCCGTAAGTGCGCGTGGCAGCAGGAGCATGGCTGTGTACGCGGCTGCGGCGACGGTGCTGGCTGGGGTGGAAAACCGCCAGGGCTCCCTCAAGGGGCTGGTGTACGCCAGCAACTTCCAGGTAACGGGGCTGGACGCAGGCAAGGTGGGAGGCCGGGGGCCGGGGAGCCGGGGGGCCGGGGGCGGGCCCGGCTCAGCGTGTCTCCCTCCCTCCGGCCGCGCAGAACGTGAAGCAGCTGTACGCGCTGGTGTGCGAGACGCAGCGCTACTCCGCCGTGCTGGACGCCGTGATCGCCAGCGCCGGCCTCCTCCGCGCCGAGAAGAAGCTGCGGCCGCACCTGGCCAAGGTGAAGGGCGAGGCGGGAGGCGTCTGCCTCCGGGTTCCCGTTCTGCCCAGCGTGGCTCGTCCGAAAGGAATCTGCGCAGCCTCTCACTGGGTTATGTAGTCGCTGAAATGAATTTGCCTTCAAACTTAGGGCCTTGGGTCAAGGAGAAATGGAACGGGAAGCCGGGTGCGGTGGATCACGCTTGTAAGTCAGTGTCAGCACTCTGAGAGGCAGAGGTTGAGGCAGGAGCAAGATAGAGCCCTGCGCGGTCAGTTTAGGGACTTCGCGAGATCCCGGCTGAGAATTTTAAAAAAGGGCGGGGCGGGGGGAGTTGAGGGTGTTGCTCAGTGTACAGATCCTGGTTCAGTCCTCAGCTCCATGCCAAAAAATGAAAAAAGGCAGTGGGGGAGACTGAGGAAATGGAAGGGGGATGGCAAGGAATCGGAATCGAGGGCCAAGGCTCTTCTGGTGGGCACCTGGAGAAAGGGCCCGGCCGTGTACCTGCTGTGTTCAGGTACCAGGGACCACCGGGGCGGCATCTGGAAGGGTCTTTAGCCCTCCCTAGTTCCAGCGCTCTGTAGCGTTCGGAGGAGTGGATTCCCAGGGCTGGCTTATTTTGTCTTTGTTTCTCCCTCCCCAGGTGCTAGTGTATGAGTTGTTGCTTGGCAAGGGCTTTAGAGGGGGCAGAGGACGATGGAAGCCTCTCCTGGGCCGTCACCAAGCGAGGCTCAAGGCTGAGTTGGCGAGGCTCAAGGTTCACCGGGGTGTGAGCAGGAACGAGGACCTGTTGGAAGTGGGGTCCAGGCCCGGCTCAGGTGAGCTGCAGGTAACTGTGGGGTCTGGGGGTGTGTTCTAAGAGGACACCTAAGCCCCTTAGAGGAAGCGGTTTGTGTTCCCATCCGCTCTCTGCGGTTGTGTCCTAGCCTCCCAAGTGCCTCGCTTCGTGCGGGTGAACACCCTCAAGACCTCCCCAGATGATGCGGTGGATTATTTCAAGAGGCAAGGTTTCTCCTACCAGGGTCGGGCTTCCAGGTGAGAGCGCTTAGCATCCTGCCTGGCTGTCCTCCTAAGTCCCACCTTGAATGAAATGCGTATGCACTGCAAGTATGTACTAAAAAGTATTGAAAAAAACCCAAAACATTGCACAACGGATACTGTGAAAAATTTTAAATTGAAGAAGAAACTTTTTCGTTGTTTAAAAAAACTCTAAATGCAGCTATTGGCTGCTCACTTCCATTGAGCCTGGCTATTCCGAGCCTCCTCTCCTGGTCTGCTCTGTCTTCATCTGGCCTTGCTGCCTCAGCAGTGCCTGTGCTCTTTCTCTCCCCTTTCCTCCTGCCTCGGGGTTGCAGGCTCCTCAGCCCAGGTGGAGTGGTGCAGTGCAGGGTGACACTCAAGTTAATGTGCAGCTTCAAGGCGCAGCCAGGCCGCACCGGTCCAGGATGCGGGCGGTCCAGGATGTGTATAGTAGGATGCGTAGTACTCCTTTCAGAGCTGTAGAGGCCGCGGCTGCTGCGGTGTGGCTCTTGCCTTCCGTGAGGCGGTGCTTTCCAGTCAATGGCCAGCACCTGCTGGCAACGCTTCATTGTATGTGGAAGCAGCTCCCTCCATGTGACGCGGCCCGTGGCGCACAAGCACAGGTGGGGCCCCCGCTGCCAGGACGTGGGCGGTGGGAGGCTGGGATCCTGACCCCAGCTAGTCTGGCCAGAGAGCACAGGTTTAAGACTGACTTGACTGCCTCAGTGTTGTCCTTTGGAAATTTCTCCCTAGCTGTCTTTCATTACTTGTTTGCAGTGCTGAGGATTTGAACCTTGAGGCCTGGGTCATGCTGGGCTAACATAGGGCTACGTACCCCACCCCTGCATAGCCAGTTTTTTGTTTTGTTTTGTTTTCCAGAATTGGGGATTGAACTCAGGCCCTTGCACTTGCCAGGGAAGCACTTATTCCACTGAGCCATCTCCCCGGCCCCCATAACCAGTTTGTTTAAATTTATGATGTTTTGTTTTTGGGTAGCTCAGGCTGGCTGGCCTGGAACTCAGTGGTCGTCCTGTTTCAGCCTCCAGAGCATTATAGGCCTGCACCACCACTCATAGTTTACTTGTGTCTGCCCAGGCTGGGCTTGAACTTGTGAACTTCCTGCCTCAGTCTCAGATTATAGGCATGTGTTACACCAGCTATAGCAAGCTTAAATACTGCTTGTGTGAGAAAAGGGGGCAGCTGGCATGGAGGAAACCGAAAAATGGGGAGTTAATGGTTTCTGTTCCCTGGAAGCCTTGAAGACTTGCAGGCCCTGAAGGGGAAACACTTTGCTCTGGATCCCTTGTTGCCTGAGCTGCTCGTGTTTCCTGCACAAACTGATCTGCATGAACACCCACTGTACCGGGCAGGTCACCTCATCCTGCAGGACAAGGTAGGGAGGACAGATGGGAAGAGAAAGTTTGAGTACCCTGTCCCTGCTCTCTTTTCACCTCCTGCTATGCTCCGCTGTGCCAGGCCAGCTGCCTCCCGGCCATGCTGCTGGCCCCGCCACCCGGCTCCCACGTCATCGACGCCTGTGCTGCCCCAGGCAACAAGACCAGTCACCTGGCGGCTGTTCTGAAGAACCAGGGGTGAGGGCCCTGTAGGAATGGGAGAGGGGGGTGGGCCTGACCCTGGGCTTGAGGCGGGCACGCTGAGCTTCCTGGGAGCTACACCATCCCTTCACGGATGATGCAGGCCAGGTGGCCACTTCGGTATTTAGTAGTGGTTTTTGCATGTCCTAAGTTAACATACTGTTTCAGTTTGGGCCATCCAGAGATGCGGCCTCCCTCAGGTGCCCTGTATGTTCTGCCCACCCAGCTCTGTTCTCTTCCGCAGGAAGATCTTTGCCTTCGACCTGGATGCTAAGCGGCTGGCGTCTATGGCCACTCTGCTGGCCCGCGCTGGAGTCTCTTGCTGCGAGGTGGCCAAGGAGGACTTCCTGGCAGTGTCACCGGTGGATACACGCTACGCGCGGGTCCAGTACATCCTGCTGGACCCCTCCTGCAGTGGCTCTGGTGAGAAGGGGAGGTTGGCTGTGGGGCTGCATTCTAGATCAGCCTAGAGCTGATGAAGGCTGTTTTGGTCTCAGCTGGGACTTGTCAAGTGGCCATGGGACTGGTTAGGTGAATGGTTCTTGTGAAGCTGGGCTCCCATTGGGAACACAGGGTTTGGGTGGCTTTTGCATAGTGCTGTCCTCCACAGGCATGTTGAGCCGGCAGCTGGAGGAGCCCACGGCAGAGCCGCCCAGCAAGGAGCGCCTGTGTGCCCTGGCAGCGTTTCAGCTTCGAGCTCTGCGCCATGCGCTCACTTTCCCAGCGCTGCAGCGCCTTGTCTACTCCACGTGCTCCCTGTGCCCGGAGGAGAATGAGGATGTGGTCCGGGAAGCCCTCCAGCAGAGTCCAGAGTCCTTCCAGTAATGCGCTACCCGGGCAGAGCAGAGGGCAAGGGTGACCTGCAACCCCAGTGTAGGCTGAGCCCCCTCCCTCCACAGGCTGGTGCCCGTCCTGCCCTCCTGGCCACACCGAGGCCTTGGCACCTTTCCAGGGGCTGAACACTGCCTCCGGGCCTCCCCTGAGACCACGCTGACCAGTGGCTTCTTCATTGCAGTGATTGAACGGACAGAGGTGCCAAGGTGAGGTGTGGGGGGCACGGCCTGTTTGGGAGGATGGGGGCAGCTGGGACTCACCTGACCTGTCCTTGCCTTGCAGCCTGGCCTCTCCCAGCCCAGTGCCGAAGAGGAAGAGGCGGCAGAAAGCAGTGGCCAGCGTGGGCACACAGGTTGAGGGCAGTGAACCACAGGGAAGGAAGCTGCCGAACATGTGCTGAGCACTACTGCCTGGCAGCACTCCTACCACCAGGCCACAGTGTCCTGGCCTGTGAGTGTCCCTCCCCTGGGCTGTGTTGTTTGCTGGTGACACAAGTGCTGGCCCACATGAAAGACAGGACAGGGTGTATGATGGATCACAGTTTATTCTCATGACATAAGCAAAGAGAAAATCTCACATTCATACTAAAAATGCCATCTAGCCCCAACAGAAACCCAGCCTCCTCTGTCATGGGAAGTGCAGTCTCCTGGGCCTGGGCTGTGCATGTCCTCGCACATGTGCCAGGCCCACCCAGAAGTGGTAGCCAGCTCCGTGCCCATAGCCAAGGCCCCAGTGCAAGGCTAGGCCAAGGCTTTGCTGCTGGACCTGTGTCCACCCTGATAGGTCTGGGCCTTGCGCAATTCCCACATTCAACCTCAGTCACCACAGGGGAGGGGACTAGTTACACCTACGTCACATTATTTATAAAATGAGGATTAAGTTTGTATAATCTAGAAGAAGCTCCAGTCCCTCAGGAGTGGGCCTCTTCCCACACAGGCATAACTTAACTACACTCCTAATTTCTAGTCTGTAGCGTTTATACTTAACCACCTCAATGAACCAAGCTTGAAGGAATTTAAAAGGCAATTTAGCTTAAATACAAAAATAAATTTTTATTTTGTTAAAAAATGTTTAAATATTTTTCTTTTAATTTAGACACACGCATCCATACTTCTCCCAAAGAGGGTGGGCGTGGCAGCAAGGCGCTGAGGCCTGGGGATCTGGGCCTGTGCAGAATAGGCTGGAGGAGACCCTGCTGCAACACACAGCAGTGTGCTTTCTCAGTGTGGGTCTCCTGCCATGGGGGGGGGGGGGTCTCAGCAGCAGTGAGGCCAGTAAGTGGGAGAACAGTGGAGGGGAGGTCTTACTTCCCCTGACCCTGTCCCCTGGGCTGCCAGCCCTTAAAAGTCAAAACCATCACAAAATTCAGAAGTCCGCACTGGCCATCAAGTGGTGCCACTTTCCACATTCCATTAACCAGGTCCAGGAGACTTGACAGTTAGGTCCGGCATTACCAACATGCCGCCACACATACAATTCAATTCTTCCTCCAAACTCGATTCAAAGAGCAACAAACACAAGCATCAGACAGTAACACAGGACAAGGCTTGGGACGTGCGATCCCAGAGAGGCAGATGCAGGCCGGGAGGCCAGAGGGCAGGGAGGCAGCTCAAAGCGGGATATCCTGCCTGCTCCAGGAGCTGGTCTCCAGGAGCGAGGGGCTCACCCCCAGCTCTGCCGGGCTAACAGTCTTGCGCCACCAAGATTTTAGGGGCCAAACTGACAGAGGGTTGGAGGTGAAACCGCCTCAACTTGGCAGGAGGAAGTGGAGCAGCACCCACTTGGGGTCTCCAAGGCAAAGCTAGGTTCAGGGTCATTTAAAAAGGAGTAAATCCTGCAGGGGACCAGTGAGGGGCAAAGCAGCAAGAAATAAGGAAATAAAAGTCCCCTAGAGGGACCAGAGGAAGAAAACCACTTCTTATAGTCAAGCCAAGCAGGTAAAGCTTAGGGAAGATCCGTTTTTTTCCAACCCATCCAAAGTGCCAGAGATCCAGGGGGCGCACTGCACCCTCTGCATGAGGGTGCTCAGGGAGGTGGGAGGAGGTACCTGGCTATGCCAGGCGCTAAACGAGTCAGGGAGTGGGCGGTATATACAGATGTTTCTTTAGTTCACCAGCCTCACCAGAGCAAATGTTCAAGTAACGCAGTGGGCTTCTGCCCCGGCCTTTCCCACCTGCTTCCGGGAGGGAAAGGTCCAGGGCTGCCATGTACCCTGGTGGCTGAAGCCAAGGATCTGGGCCAAGTCTGGGCTGTACGGAACTTGAAGGGGCAGAGGCTCTTCCTAGCAGGTGCTGAGGTCCAGATGTGGGTGAGGGTTGGGAGAACAGGGACGAGACAGAGGCTATTTCTTGCGGGTGTGCTGCCTTCGGGCCTGCAGTCGCTGTCGAGCCCCTGGGGTCTTGGATCCCGAACCAATGGAAAAGGAAGGGGTAGCTGATCCTAGAAAGGTGTGACAAGGTCTCATCAGGACAGCTGCTCTCTCTGGGAACAAAGCTCTGGAAACTCAGGCCAAAAGGAGCACCAAGGCTTTCCAGTGGCACCACAGATCCATGCAGATGGGGCTCAGCAAAATGAAGAGTCCCTCAAGAAGTCAGAATAAGACCCCCCCAACCGTAAGAGGGCTCCTCTTTGAGCTGTGCTGCCCACCCAGTTGCCACAGGCCTGAGGGACAGGAGCCAAAGCCCCACCCCATGCCATGTGTAGCCCAGCACTCACCAAAAGGTGCGACTCCTATGAAGCCTTGGGCAGGTGTTGAGGGTGTCCCAAAAGAAAGGGTGCTGCCCGCAGTGCCCACGCCAGGGGTAGAGGCGCTCTGTCCAAAGTTGGGTGTGGAAGTGCCTAGATGGCAGAGAGTGCAGACGGCAGTCAGGCCGGCTAGGGAACTCCAGGACAGGTGCTCCCCTGCAGCACCACCCATGCAGCAGCCTGACTCTGACCTCCTTGTTGGGGTTTACCTCTCCCCCAACTCTTGTCCCTCCTCACTCAAGTGTTGTCCCCCATCTTCCTAGGCACCTTCTGGAGCTGTCACAGCACCCTAGCTCATTCAAAGCAGGCTGTGTTATGGCTCCCAACACCACTGCCTATTTCAACCCAACTTCCTCTGACTTCGTAATTTACCTCCAACTCTCATCATTGCTGTCAATTGCTAAGCAGCCCCACGTTCACTGGGCACAGCTGGCTTACTGTCTACCACTGACTCTGCCCTTCCTCAGGTGCCTTCAATATGAGGCTGCTCACCATCCTGCAGCCCACCCCTGCCACCTCCCATGGTCACTCACACAGTTCCAGAGCCATGCTTGTGGGGTTTCTACACCCAGCTCATGTTAGGGACCCACCTCAGCAGCTGCAGAGGGTACTGCACAAGGGCCTCATCAGACACATCACCAGTTTTGCAGCCCACAAGAGCACCTGGCAGACCCAAAGTGACTTTCCTCCCTTGGCCTATCACCCTAAAGGGCTCCTTCCTACTCAATGAAAGCACTGTGTTCTCAGGACCCAAATTCCCCTGCACCTGGCCACTAAGATCCCCTTCTGCTCCAACTTCTGCCTTGCCAACCTCCGTGCTTTTTCTGCCCTTTACACCTCTGGCCACGCCTGGCTTGTGTCACACAGCTTACCTGTGTCCACTTGCCTCTGCCTGTGTTCCATCCTCACCAGCTTCTCCAAAGCTCTGTACTGTCTCACCAGGCACCCCCACACACACACAGTGCACCCAGCCCCACCTCACCTCCGAACACAGGCTTGCTTTCAGCTGCACCAGCTGCATTGAAGGCAAAAGGCGTGCTCTGGCTGGCTGCACCCAAGTTGCTCTGAGTCAGGGCCCCACCAAAAGGGGTGCTGGCACCTGTGGTCCCACTCTGTCCGGCTCCAAAGCTGAAGGCTCCAGAGGTGGAGCTGGTGCCTGGGGCAGCCACCCCAAGCCCGAAGCCCCCAGTGCTACCAGTGGTGGCCCCTGGTGCCCCAAAAGTGAAGAGGGATGAAGCCGAGCTGAACACGGTGCCACTGGTCCCACTGCTGGTGGTCTGGGTGATAGCTCCAAAGCCGGAGGTGGTAGCCGCACCAAAGGAAAAGACAGCTGTGCCACTGCCGAAGGCTGGCTGTGTGCTGGCGGGGGTGCCAAATGTAGAGGCTGGAGCTTTCAAACTGCCAAAGGCTGACTGCACAGAGCTGCCAAAGGCTGGCTGGGCTGGGGCTGAGGCTGGAGCTGGGGCTGCAGAGTTCCCAAAAGTGAAGGAGCTGCCAAAGCTGGGGGGCAGGGCTGGCACAGCAGAGCCCTGTTGCTGCCCATCGGTGGCCCCGAATGTGGGCTGGGGGTTGGCCCCTGGGTATGGTGGGGGTGGTACAGGGGCCTTGGCAGCAGAGCCGAAGGGAATGTTGAATGCTGGGGTGGTTGTGTGGCTGAACGTCAGTGTGGACTGGCTGGTGGTGACAGGGGTTGGGGCAGTCTGGGCACTGCCAAAGCCACTGAAGCCAGCAGTACTGCTGCTGCTGCTGATGGTGGCTGTCTGAGCAGTGCTGGAGAGGGACTGGCCAAAGCTGGAGACGGCCGTAGTTGTGGGCAAGGCAGAGGACTTGTTGAACTGGAAAATGGAAGTCACAGCTGGGGTAAAGCTGGCGGTAGGGGCCGGAGAGGCCCCAAAGAGGAAAGGCTGAGAGGTGCAGGCAGTGGTACTAGTCGTGCTGCTCAGAGTGCTGGCAACGCTGTTAACTCCAAAGCTAAAAGGCAGCTTCAGAGTGGAGTCTGTGGAGGTGCTGGCTATGGTAACAGAAGCCACTGTGGAGGTGGCAGTAGCCAGGGGAGGAAAGAGAGGGGTGGCTGTGGCTGCAGTAGTGACTGGAGCAGTAGTTGGTTTGAAGAATGGAGCTGCCAAGGGCATGGACGTAGGCTGCCCCAGGCTGCCAAAGATGGGCTTGAAGGTTGGTGTCGTGGTGCTGCTTGTGGCAGGGGTGGCGGCACTGGAGGTGGCGGCAACCGTGAGGGAGGCGCTAGACGGCAAGGGCCCTTCACTCTGGACTTTAGGTGGTGGCTCAAAAATGGGCTTGAACATGGGAGAAGCAGAAGACAGGCTGGGCACAGCAGCAGGGGCGGCAGGGCTGGAAGATGGGGGGCTCAGCATCTCAAATGGTGAGCTCTGCTTCGGGGCTGAAGCCAGGGGTGCAGGGACTTTCGCAGGTGTCTCGGCCTGAGGGGCTGGAGGTGGCTTGGTGTCGGTGACTGGGGTTGTAGAGACAGCAGGGGCTGAGGCCAGGAGGGTGGCTGTGGGTTTTGTGTCTGCAGAGGCGGGTGGCAGGGGTCCTGACAAGGAGGCAAGAGGCGCCACGAGGCTGGGTGTCTTTGGAGATGTAGGGGCCAAAGAGGCTGCCACTCCAGCAGGTTCTGGAAGAAGAGGAAGAAAGGTAAGTTTCTAAGACTTCCACGGGATGGTATGTAACACATCTATGCCCTCCAGGAGCCACCTCTGTGCTGGGGATCCAAGAGTTAGTCCGGAAACTCAGTGAGTTTGTGCCACTGACCCACAAAGGCCATCGAGGCGGCATTCAGATGTCACATACACACACGCACACACGCACACACACAAGCAGGCAGGCGCAGACAGAGCCTAATGGATGATGCGCATGAGGAAGGGAAGTGAATCTCCAGAAACCCAGGTACTCACCTAGAGGCCTCTTACTGCCTCCCACCTTCCCCAGTGAAGTGCTACATGCAGAGCCTCGACCATGAGTGCAGCCAGTCCGCCCCCGGGCTCTGCCGAGATGAGTTTGTGCCACTGACCCACGAAGGTGGTTCACAGGGCCTTTCACACTCCAGCGAAGCGCAGGGCAGCCATGCCATGAAGACACAGGCCTCAGCCTAGGTGCTAAAGACCCTGCCATAATCATATGGCAGACACCCCACGAGGGCCATGTTTTTCTCATTTTATAGATAATAACTGCAAACCACAAGTCAAACCCAAGCCATCCTCCCCAGGCTTTATTTCTGTGTGTGGCAGGACACCGGCCCTTGCATTTTCTAATACAGAATTCGGAAGCAGTGAAGCCTGCGCCACCCACAGGGTTCTTCAAAGACAGAGGTCTGAACTCACAAACCACCCCAGCGCCTGCTCACCTGAGGATGGCAAGCTCAGCGGACTCTGCATCTTCTTCAAGCTCTCTAGCAGGGGGTTTGTGCCTGGCACAGAGAGGGACGCTGGTGAGGATGCAGGCACTGCAGTAGGCACTGCAGCAGGCACCGCAGCAGGCACCGCAGCAGGTGGTGAGAAAGTGAAGGAAGGCTGCGTGGTGGCCGGGCTCTCAGTGACTGAGTTCGAGGCAGCATCTATGGGAGAAAGACAAGATGGAACTTCCGCCTTGCTCCAGACTCTTTCCAGACAGCACTGGAAGCTCTGGGGCTCATCTAGCTTGTTCGGAAATGCTCCCCTCTAGGTTTCAGTGAACATCTGAACCAGGGAAATCCCTTCCCATCAAACCAAAGGAGTCAATGTCTCAAACCCCTTGGAGTGCGCCATGCATCTGCACTTCTTACTGGTTTTGTCCTCCAAGACTTTGTTGAACCACTGCAGCGAAGCCTTCTTCTCCAGGTCCAGGTCTTCCACAGTGACAGAATAGCCAAGCTCAGGTGGCGGAGGCTGCCAACAAGAACAGGGACAGATCAGGCTGATGCAAAAATGAGAGAAACCTGTGCCGAGCCTTCCCTAGAGGACAGACAGGATGTACCAAGGTCAACCGGTCCCCTCGCCTGCAGGGCAGCAGCTGAATCTTCCGCTTCCGCCGCCCAGAGCTGCCAGGTGTGGATGGGGACGTCCATGAGTTCTGCTGCTTGCAGGTGGTTGTCTCTGCAACTAAAGAAATAGGTGCTGGCTTCCTTCCCTCTCCCAGGAAAGGAATTTTGTCTAGCCAAAACTAGTTTTGTCTAGTGCTCTGTCTTTTAGACAAGGTCTCACGATGCAGTTTAGGCTGGCCTCAAGCTATGTAGTCTAGGCTGGCCTTGAACTCACATCCATCCTCTTGCCTCAGTATCCCTCACACCAGGATTACAGGTGTACACCACCATACCCAGCCTAGCCTGGCTTTTAACAGAGTTGTCACTGGGTGTCCTAAAAAGATTCTCTCTTCCACAGCTGGATAGCATTTACAAGATTTGCAACAGTCAGAAGGAAATAACAGAAGACAGCTCCAAATGTCTGCCTCCAACTGCCTCCTGGTCACAGGTGCCGCAGGCGGAGCGGACCCTAGCTGACCATTACTTCCCTGCCACCTTCTCCCACAGCCTTGCGAGGGGCAGGTATTCTCTGTACCTGCCTTGCCCAAGACAGTGCTGCTCCACCCTGTTTTCAATAGCAGGAACTCTAACTTTCTAACTCTCTCTCTCTCTCTCTCTCTCTCTCTCTCTCTCTCTCACACACACACACACACACGCACACCCAGCACCGCCAGCTATTCTGCCACTCATGAGCTCACCCCTTTCTCCCTGGGACTCCTTGTCCGTCACCAGTGGAGTTGAAGAACTGGCATGATGACACGCCTCCTCTTCTCTGCAGAGATTTTGAAAGGCAGAATTTAGTTGAAAGACTTACGGACTTAAGCACTGGGTAAACAGTACTCAGTCTCCTCAATACTGAGGGGCCAAAGCCTAGAATAACCATGGCTCATCTGTGCGTTACGACAAAAAACTGAAAAGAAAATTTGTGCATAAATGGAGGAGGGAACCCTTCAAAAAGCCCAGGGACAAACCTCTTGTCTTAAACCAAGCACAAAATATAAGCCTACGCATAAGATCCTGAGTTTGATCCCTGGTAGCAAAACAAAACAAAAAAATTACTACCTGCCAAGTCTTGAGAATTCTAGGCTTAGACATGACGCCTAAGGGAGCTGCAGGGCCGTGAGACACTCAGAGAGCCAGGGACAGAGAGAGCCTGCCTGCAGACACAACCCACCTAGTGCCCAGCCACCTTGCTGGAGTAGGAGGCTCGAACAGGGCCTCTGCGGAACAGGAGGCAGTTCCCGGCCCTTCGCTCCCCTTCCAGAGTACCCCGGTCCTTGGACTCACAGATCAGAGTCACACACAGACCAGAGCTGGATCCATTTTCCCCTTTCTTCTCCTCTCACCTGCCCTTCAGCACATGGTTAAGAGGAGGAGACTGCTGATCACCTTGTTTTCTTGGCTGGCCTCTCCGGGGTCTGTGAGCGGGAGGAGGCAGGGCTAGAGAAGGGCGAGGAAGTGGGTCCACTCCTTTTCCGCAACTAGAGGTCAAGAGAGACAGGACTGAGTGTCAAGACAATGGAAGACTGACCTGGCCTACGATGTCACTCTGTGGTCTATTCATCACTGCACATAGCTTATCTTTATGAAGAAGGGCTAGAGATGTAGCTTAATGCTAGAGCACTTGCCCAGTATGTGGAAGGCCCTAAGTTCAAACGCCAGCACTGGAAAAAAAATCTTTATGAAGAACAGACCCTTGAAAAGCTAGGTGTGGTGGTGCTTGCCTGTAATTTCAGCACTTAGAAAGCTGAGGCAGAAGGATCTCAGCAAGTTACAGGCCAGCCTGAACTAAACAGTGAGACCCTATCACAAAACCAAACCAAACCAAACCAAACCAAATATCCCTAAAGTGAGTCAACTGCCAATATTAATTATGGAAGTAAAAGTCTAGGGAGACAGTAGAATGGTTAATAAACACAAATAGAATACATTTTGCCATATATTGGAAAATGGCGTGTTACGTTGGTTTCTAACACACTGTGTTCTGTAAGAATCAGTCTGTGCCCATTAAGAGATTAAAGATGAGAAGGGAAGAGAATATTAAAGTCACATAGATGCACACTGAAGAAACTAGTGACTCAAACAGGTCACTGTTCACACAGTGCTTCACACTCTTTCTAATTCTGAGCTGCATCTCCAGAACTTTTTACCTTTCTTAAAATTCTGAGATAGGGTCTCACTAAAGTTGCTCAGGCTGGCCCGGCCTTTGCATTCCGCTTGTCTTGGCCTCCCAAGTAGGTGAAATTATAGGCATGTGGCGTACCTGCTTACTGCTTCCAAGCTTCAGTACACATAGGCGAACTACTTCCTAAACACAAACAGCCGCTGACTACAAGGGCATGAGCTCCTCTAACGCAGACTGAGTTCCCCAAGCCTGCTAAAGACGGCTACAGATGTTCCTAACAACAATGCTAAAGAAGCCTGGGTCCTCTGATATTTCTGTGGTTTCGACTCCTCATTTAAAACTTCATTTGGAATAGGCTTTTCTAATATATTAAAGCTCTTGAAAATGAGAAAAGACAAATACTCCTTCAGAAAAATATGCAAAAGATATGAACTAAGACTGGGCATGGTGGCGCTCGCCTGTAATTCCAATACTGGGAGGCTGAAAACTGGAGGATCACCACGAGTCTGAGCTGCATAGTTAGACCTTGTAACAACCAAATATATAAAAAAAAAAAAAAAACAACAACAAAACTGGGCATGGTGGCACACACCTAAAATCCCAACCCTCTGGGAGGCTGAGGCAGGAAGATCACTGGGTTCAAAAGCAAGGACTTGAAGAGGGGGGCACAACTGCTATGGGGGACTCCTACCCAGCCAGGCACTTCGCTGGACACAACATTCCTGCTGTGACACAATAAGAAAACACACAGCTGGGCTAGGGACATAGCTCAGAGGTGTGCCTGCCTGGCAAATGCAAGGTCTCAAGTTTGATTCCCGGTTCTGCAAACAAAATAAAACACAAACACAACAACAAAGCAAAAAAACCCACTCAGCACTCTGCTCAAAGAACTGAACTTGGATCTAAGCAAGGCTGAAGGTGCAACTGCTCATTTCACTGGAAACGGAGAGAGCAGAGGCTAAGTGGCACCACAGTGATGAAAGCGAAGTTCAGAATGGGAAATTCCGTGTAAGAAAATGATCATCCCCCCACAAAAGCATGAAGAAAGGGAAGTTAGAAACATTATAGATTTAAAAAGTCTAAGAGAGGGCCGGGGAGATAGCTCAGGAGAACAAATGCTTGCCTGGCAAGCACAGGGTCCTGAGTTCAACCCCCGGTACCGCAAAATAAATAAATAAATAAATAAATAAATAAATAAATAAATAAAAGAAGTCTAAGAGACAAACTTAGAACTGAATTTTGGTTCCCAATACCAAAATTATTTCAAAATAACTGTAATAGGATAATCTGGGGTAATTAGGGAAATTAGACCATAGAGTAATATCAACAACTATTAAAGAGTTATTAAGAGGAGTGGTGATAATTATGATCAACATTAAAAAGTAGGTTTTTAACAGTTAAAAATACAATGCAGTACTTATAGATAAAATGACATGTTTGAAATTTGCTTTAAAACAGAAAGGCAAAAGCAAATTAGAACTGATGGAACAAGATCAAATGCTTAAAAAATTAAGAAAATGCTGATAACTACTGAAGCTACATGGATGCTCATTACGCTATTTTCTTTGTTTCTGCATACACATGAAACCATACATAATAAAAAGACAAGAAATAGGGGCAAATGCGTACTCAGTAGGGCTGCTGGGGGACTGAAGAAATGCACAGAGAGGGCCGGGCACAGCACCTTGTGGGGTAAGCAGCAAAGCCAAAGCTGTTATAGGGCCTCAGCGTCCCCCGCACAGCCGCGGTGGCTCGGGCTGCCGTTTTCCACATGCGTGACAGCCACAGACTGAAGGGCCTGTCTGAAAATGTTCTCCCCTCAAAATCTTTCCCCATGCGGCCAATCTTTTCCCTAGCTATAGTAGAGTACCCACCAATAACAGGCAGTGGAGGGAATGCTTTTTAAACATTACCTCCCGTGAAAACAACAACCCTTCAGGAATGAGAAAAAAGAACGTAAGTGATTTATCCACCCAAGACCCTACAGCTACTAAGTGTGAGGAAAGATTTGCACCCAAGCTTTCTGGCAGCAAAACCTTATCTCTTCCCAGAACTATACTATAATCTCCTTTCTAACCAACAAGAACTCAACAAGAACTATGACTTCTTTTGAGACAAGGTGTCACTCAGCCCAAGCAGGCCTAGAATTCAAGATCCTCTGACTCAGCTTCTCAACTGCTGGAATTGTAAGCAGGTATTATCATGGCCACCTAGAATTATAACTTGTTTAAAACTTTTGCACTACATTCTATATGCTTATAGGATCTCTTCTATGACCCAACATTACTCAGTCTTGATCAAACTTCAATTTAATTAATACCACTTATTGGTCTTCCTTTGTCCATTTACCTGTAATAACAGTGCTACAGTAAAACTCTGGCTCATGAATGCTTGTTTCCAAACAATTTGGTTTGCAAACAAAACCATTCAGCAAAATTTTGCTTCTGTTCACAAATTCCACACTGGGTGACAAACACAACTACAGCTATCTTCCCAATACAAACCATCTTCCCCAAAATAGTGAAACTAAGTTCATAAACCAAGGTACCATTATATTTCTGGACTTTCAATTCCGCTGGTCAGTATTTTATTTTGATTGCCATTTAAGGCTTTCTGTGTTCTGCTAGCTTAGAAACAATCCTAGCACCAGATGGAGGGTGGTCAGTATTCACTTGCTTATCACTTAACAGTGCCCAGAACCCACACCCTACCTGTGCAAGACCTCGGGTAGAGCTATAGGAGCTGGTAATGGCATTGCGGCTGGAGCTGAGGATGCCACCTGTGCACGTGCTTGTCAGGGAGCTCACAGAAGACGTGCGTGAGCGCTTATTCAAGTGGTCATCTGAACTCTGGGAAGCAAGACCTCGCTTCAAGGTCCCAGGCCTAACAGAAGGGGAAAATCCAATGTGTTACTGAAGGCAGTGTTATTTTTAAAAACTTCATTGGTACTTTTTAGATATACAAAAGAGTAACATTCATCATAGGGGATCTGTATATGATGCCTCTTGATTCTTTTTTTCCTCCCCCCCAACCCCTCTTTCATTTATTTACAAAAGTTTTATTTCCATTTTTTCCTTTTCCCTTCTTTATTTCCCCTCTCTTCTCCTCCCTTGTTTCCCCTCCTGTTTGAACATCTTCCTATTTTACACATTTTGGTGACAACCATGTTCTTGAACATGTCATCCTGGTTAGGAAGCCCAGGATGGAGTTTCTTAGTGAACTGCAAGGAATGAGAATAATGCTCCAAATTTGTGCTAACGGGCTGGGGATTTGGCTCAGCAGTAGAATGCTTGCCTAGCAAGCTGGAAGCCCTGGGTTCAGTCCTTGGCACTAAAAACAAAACAAAACAAATAAAATAAAATAAACCTCCCCTGGGCTGGTGAGATGGCTCAGTGGTCTAAAGCACCTACTTAGAACAAGCTTAGCAAAGCACAGGGAC